TTTTGCAGCTCCTTCATTTTATATAAGGGATTATTAGTGAGAACCCCCCAATACATTAGGATATATTATAATGGATCCGCTCCCTTTTTCAATAATAGTGAAACCCCCGTTAATTGTTTAATTAAATTAATATTTATATAATTATTAGGTGTTATACCTATATTATCCTTAATTAACACATAAAACCCTAGCCACATCTTTTTTACCCAAAAGTCGTTGTATCGTCAAATATTATCTCCATCTTTTCTTCTCTTCTTCTCTAACTAGAAGTTTGCAGCGTCGGAGGCGGCGACAAGGAGAGGAAGAAGGCGGCACCACATCTCGACAACGATGAGGGAAGAACCCCACAACCGAACTGCCGCCGCTACTCCTCCATTACACCTCCGCCTGACTTCCACTCCTCCAATTCAGATCTGCACCGTCGTTGTCATCTCATATCTTCCATGCCCGCGATTTTAGGATTTCGTTTGGTTGAAGATTGGATTAACATGTTGTGACAATCTATATTTTGTTTTTTTATTCGTTCTAGGATTTCTCTCCATTGTCGAGTTCCAGGGATGATGTGAGGAGGGCCATTCTAATTGATTTTGCGGCAATGATTCGTCTTGATCTAATGCTTGGATCTTGTTAATTGAGGAGCAATTTTCTGAATTTTTTATTTGACGATTTTTTATGTTGGGTATGTTAGACAACAATATAGTTGTTTTCGTTATTCTGCTATTTTGTTTATAGTTGTTTTCGAGAGTTTTTAGTTGTTTTCGACATTTTTAGTTGATTTTTTTGGTAGTTGATTTTAATTTTTTTATTGCTTTTTTCAATAATATGATCTGCTGGAAAAATAAAATCGAAAAAAATTGAATTAAAAAAATGAAAAAAAAATTGTACTTCATTTATTTTTAGTTGTTTTCGACGATTTTTAGTTGATTTCAATTTTTATAGTTGTTTTCAATAATATAGTAGTAATTTGTCGATATAGGTAAATCAGTTGGGAAAAAAAACCGAAAAAATGAATTAGAAAAATTGAAAAAATAATAGTTGATTTTGCAAATAATTTAGTTGTTTACGGAAATATTATATTTGATTAGGGAAATAAACGAACAAAAAAAGTAATATTTTCAGTAATTTGTAGTTGATTATGGAAATAGTTGATTTCAGAAATAGTTGTTTTAAAAAAATATAATTATTTTCAGAAATTTTATAATCGATTTCAAATAAGAAAACTGAAAAAAATTCAAAATTGAAATCGAAAATAACATTACCATACCTATTTTTAAATAAATAAACGAATATTATAATTAAAAAAATTAAATAGGCATTAAAGTAATTGAGAGTGACTAATAAGGAATGAAGGGTAAATTTGACAATAAAAAAAAAGTTGGATCTATCACTAATAAAAGAAAAGGGGTTGGACCCATCTTTATTAAAAAAAATGATAGAGGGGGTTCTCACTAATAGTACATTTATATAAACATATCCATAATTAATTAAACCATGAAAAGTATGGCCATTTAGTGAAATATTTTCCGATCAAATTACAGTCACCTCTGAAGTAAGACTAAATTACGAAAAAACCTCTTATGTTTGGATATTAACAATCACCCCTCAACTATGTATTGTTTTACACGTCTAATCTTACGGACACGGTGTCAAATTTACATACTGGAGGAGACGGTTTTTCGTAAGACAATATATAATTGAGGATGTGGTTGTAATTATCCAAACATGAGGGATTCTTTTGTAATTTTAACATTACAAAAGAATTACATGGAAAAAACAATCGACTTATTAAAAGCGGTTCAACGCGTTTTACACCAAAATAAGAAAACGGAAAAAACGTCCAAATTCAGCATTAACTATGATCAATTAATTTCAATTTTCAATAATAATAAAAATAAAATAAGTGTCCAAACAAACATGCACTAACATACAAAAAAAAGCATATTCATTATGACACATATTCTTTGCATTTTACTACAACTGCCAATTGGAGACATGTACAAAGACCACCTTTTTCCACTTCCATTCAACGTTGACCACAATCAAAGCATCCTTTTTATTATTTATTATTATTATTTATTATTATTTTTCCCCACCGGCCCCCCTAACTATATAATACCCCCCCAAAAAGATTTGCAAATTAGTTGTACCATCTAATGGATTTCCATACTACTTATCCAACACAATCACCGACGGTGTGCTCGTTCGAAGAGGAAGACGATGATGTTTTGTACGATGAACTCAAAAGGCAAGTCTTGCAATTGACAGCTGATGAAGACGAAGAAGTTATTAAATACGAGAACAAGGAATGTGGCCCGTTATATGGCCCGTTTAGCACTATCCAGCCCGTTTTGTATAATTACGGTTGGCCCGTGATTAAGGAGGATAATAATAGTGGTGGTGGACCACCTTTGTGGATGTGAAACTTGTGGAGAAGTACTAGTGGAAATATTGGGACTGGTGTTTTTATACCACAAATTGTCCATTCTTCTAGAAGGAGAAACAAATCAAGTATGTATGGAATATTAATTTTATTTTATTTTATTTATTTATTTTACTAGATTAATATATAATGTATGTTGTGCATATAAGTTTGGTCTTTGGATTTGGATGCAGGGAAGAACAAGAATGAGAGAGGAAGAACATACAAGCATGTAGAGAAGATGAATTGATTCTAAAGAATATTCTTTTTGTCTCATAGAAGAAAACATTTGAATATGTAACATATATTTTATCTAACTTTATGCTAATGTAAATGCATTTTATTTCAATAAACATTAGTTGGAAATTATGCTTGTAATTCTTTTTAATCGAAAATGATGATTTATATGCCTATAGAAATCAATTAACCTAAGTTGTAACAGTTAAGTTGTGGAAACAGTATTCAGTTACAACTATAATTCTTGTGTTAACACAGTTATAAACTACTTAAAGCAAATAAATGAACACAAGGAATTAATGTGGTTCAGACACAAATGTGCCCTACATCCACGTGGACCTGCAAACACGATTTCACTAGTTCAGATTTACAGTGTACATTAATAGGACTTATTAAAAACACTAAAGACTCCCTCTTTATGTAATATGCCGTTCTTGTACACAACTCGAACTTCGTGTTTCTTCCAACAGCAGCTCCACCCGCGTGCCTTGAACTTTCTTCAAGCCTGAACTCCCTTCAGAAAACGCGGCTGATCTCCCTTGAGATCTATACAGCAAATCTGTATATGTTGGCACAGTGCAACGATGGCACAGTCCTGCTCCGCAGAACGCCTTGGCAAAACTTCGATGCTATGAAGAGGTTTTTCTCCCAAATAATGCACACGGTTCTTGTATGTCTTGGAGGCTTATATAGCCACGAAAATAAGCCCTAAGACCTAACTTGAACCCCAAGAAATCTATTTAACTAGGTAATAGAATCCTAGTTGATTTCTACTTCTATTCTAGATAAGTACAAAAGATACCTAACTAGAATAAAATACATGGAAATAAATCTAAGTCCTAATAGAAGTATTATGAGAATAGGACTCTAATAAATTCCAAAATAAATATGGAAAACAAATCTTTGCCAATCTTTTAATTCCAAAACTTGGCGGATTTCCTCGATCTTCAATAGCCGGAAATATGGCGCCAACAATCTCCCCCTTTGGCATAGATTGGTCAGAATCCATATTTAACAAGAACTCCCCCTGCATATGAGATTTTCTCTTTTTGCAGAAATGATTAACTCCCCCTGCATCACATACTGTTAGTACAATAGAAGTTGTTGTAACACAGAAATTTCCCGCAACACAAAGTTATCCAAAACAAGCCCAAGGCACAAAATAAAGATAACCAAGATGATATCCAAAAAGCAGGAAAGTTTATTATAACAGTCCTAAATAAAACATAAATTTAAGCAATTCAAAAAGGACAAAAAAGTTTTTCAGTGAAACTTCCCTTAATAATCATAGTCGGTGAGAATTGCTAGACGCTTTGCCTTGCGGTTGTGGACTGCTGCTTCATCATTGAAGTTTTTGCTGGGACATCCGGAGTTGTATCTGGAGTTGTTGCTACTCCCCCTTTCTGACCAGACTGTGCCAAAGTCTTAAGAAGCTGGTCCTGAATAGACGAAAACCCTTGAGCAAGCTGAGCCTGGATAGTCTCCTGAAAATGAGTGAGCTCATCTTTGGTGACCACATCAACTGGCGGCGGAATAGAGGCAGAGACAATGGGATCCATGGATAGTGATTGGACGGCCAGGAGGCTCCAA